GCCAAGAAACCGGCAACCACAGTGGCCAAGAAAGCAATCAAGAGACTAGAGAATGTGAAAGCTGACAAACCAAAAAAGGCAAAGATCCCATCTAAGGGCAGAGCAGTGAAACCCGAGGCTGACAAACCCAAGGCAGAGAAATCAAAAGTGGCTCAGTCTAAGCAGGCAGTGCACAAGAAGAAGCAGACGCTATATGAGCACAAGCAAAGAGCCCCACTTCAGGGACACAGAATATAAATCCTTTAGTTGAAAAATTGATTTTAATAATGTTCTGCATTTTTAATGCAGTTTCCCAAAAAGAAGATAAGTAATTGTAATTATTAAAATACTTTGATTTGAAAGAAAGCTCAGGCTTTGTATGAATTATAATATTTCTTTTTGCTATTTTCTTCAATTCTCTGCAGCAGAATTGTAGAGAAGAGGGAGCCAGACTCTCCTCAGAGGTGCACAGCAAAAGGAGCAGAGGCAACAGGTTAAAGCTGCAATAAAGGAATTTCTGATTTAACATCAGTAAAATATTTTCCATCTTAAATACAATGCAGCACTGGAACAGGTGACAAGAGAGGCTGTGGATTCTCCATCCTTGCCAACTTTTTCAAAACTTAGCAGAACTAAGTTCTGATACAATTTATATCATTGGAAACACTTACTAAAAAAAAAAAAAATAATAAAAAAAAACACACACACATTATTTTAGTGGCAAAAGTAGACAATTAAATTGGTTCACGATGTTCCACATTTTGGGATTTACTTATTTATTTATTATGGACTAAAATTCAACTCTATTTTGTTGGAGTTTATTCCACCTTGCTGCATTAAAAGGGCTAAGGATGGAAAAGGAACAGAGAGAAATGAAGCAAGATACTGAAGATCACAGAGCAAAAAGTGGAGATGCAGAAACAGAACTCAGACCCTCAGACCTCCTGCGCCCCAGTCAAGGGACTGTTCACAGCTGGACCCATGCAGAGACATGTACACCATCCAACAATGTCAGACTATGTGGAGACAGGAGTAAATAGGATTGGATCATGTATCTTTAAAATATTTTGTATTTTTTTTTTTAATGTAAGTTATTTTTGGTTTCAGTCCAGCTACTCTTTATGTAACAGTGGTGTTCCTTCTGCATGGATTGCAAGCACAGCTCCCCCCTGTGAAGGACAAGCCCGCATTGCAGTCAGCAGCATGCCCTTTAGGGATCCCTCCAAGCTGAGTCACCGGATGACACCACATTTTGTTCGTGCTTCACCTGCTCGTAGGCAAGATCCAGACAAAACAGAGCTTCCTTATTTTGTGGCAGCCGCTTCCAACAGCCTCCCCATGATTCCCCACAGCAAAAGCTGAGCAACAGCATTGCAGAGGGTGCAACATATTGGTCTGAAGTACTCCTTTTCTTTCCTTCCTTGGGAAGACCGATTGACCTTCACATTCCGAGATCAGCGGAAAGCTGTTGTCTGTGCAGCCAGGATGGCAGGGGAAGGCCAGCTCCCTGTCCTCAGCAAAGCAAGGCACCACTTCAAACCGGCAACGAGGCACCAGGATGCTGGGCACTGCAGCCTTGAAACTGGCACCGCTGATCAGTAATCAGGAGCTGTGACAGCAAGATGAGCAAAAACAGCCATTGCGTGGGAAGCGACGGCAGGCCGTGTTACTCCCCTTCCAGGTCAGAAGAGTTTATGAAAATCAGCCACAAACTCTATGCTGTGCTTCTGACGTGGAACTCTGGCACCTTTCTGGCTTGTTCAGCCTCACAGACTTTACTGGAGCTGTGTTTAAAACCACTTGTGCAGTTTACAAGAGAAAAGCAAGGTGCTGAGAACAAGCAGTGTCCAGAGACCTGCGATTCAGAGCTATGGCAACTCAGGTGGGAATGGCAGGGGAGGTAAATACTAACAGAGATTGAGAAACCTGTCCGTGGGCTCCAGTACTGAAGGGCAAGGGAAGAATAAACCGAATCATAAGAAGACAATGGCATATGTGCTCAGCTCACATAGCCCATGGAACATGCTGATAGGACACTGCAGAGACAAAAGAGCTCATGAGTGCAAGCAGGATCAGGCCTGTGTAGGCGGGAGCAGCATTTACAGTCACTTGGGCTGGGGCTATTTTCATTACAATCGTCCAAAACAGGGACTCACCAATGTTATCCAGCAAGAAACATTGATCCTAGGGGACAGTGTTTTGCAATAACAGGTGTTGCAATAACATGCTCTTCAGTCCTGAAGAATGTTGGGACATTATTAGAGGCAGTTCAATGGTTAATATGGCCCACAGACACTTTTGTTCTAGAAATAGCATCTAAATGCAATCCCCTTGACTGCTTGCACAGGTACAGACACTGCCTAGAGTCCTCTATACTCTGGGTGCTCCATCTTTGTAAATGAAATGCGATGCACAGTTAGTGCCTGATGAATCCATGTGAAAGTCAGAAGTTCAATGAAAGATCCTTTTTTTCTAATCCTCTTGACCTAGATGTGTAATATTTAATGTAGTAGATCTTTCAGTTATCCTCATTTCTGAGCTAAATGTCTCTACTGGACAAATTATTTGCTTATAAGATGATGCATCACAGCTCTTCTCTTGCTTCCACCACCTTACCATTTTACTTAGAGACAGTAATTCTCTGTCATTAAGTCATGGCACATGCTCAGTGAGAAGATGTGTTTTCAGCATGCATCTCATGGGCTGGGAGAAGTTATTCCTGTGCTCAGCAGCTACCAATTGTCAGGAAAATCTAGCACAACCATCCATTTAAGAATAAAATAAATAAATAAATAAATAAATAAATAAATAAATAAATAAATAAATTGCTGAGTGTAATTTTCTGTGTCTGTAAGAAAACAAACAAATAAACAAACAAACAAAACAAAAACAAAAACAAATACTCCTAGAAAGACCTGTGATTCATGAGTGAAGGGTGGGTGGCAGCCCAGGACTGAGCTAGCAGGCAGTAAAGAGCTCCAAATGACGGATTCGAGCCGGAGTCAAATCTAACCATAAATCAGTAGGAAATACAGCCAGAGACAAACAAACCCAAACACATGAAAGTTGCCAAGAACAACAGGAAATAAATTTTCTTTTAATAGTTTGTGTGTATTATATGGACTCTAGCATTAAAACAATGTTCTCCTGGGGAGGAGCACCTCTTCCTGCCCCTGCTAAAAGCAAGCAACAGAAAGGTTTCAAACCATCCCCAAATTTATGAATGTTAAATTTCTATGTACTGTACAGTAGCTATGTTATACAGTTATATATTTATATATCAGCTTACATTCAACTCTAAATACAGGATGGAGACTTGCCCTAGAGCAATTTCCAAGAGCTCTATCTGACATCTCCGGCTTACCTTCCTCCTCGCAGGCAAATTTTACAGGTACCCTACCACAGAAGTCAATGGCTGCACATGACTTGAATGGCTTTGAGATCAAGCTCTTGGTGCCCTCCTCTACAGAAACACACATACTCTCAGTATAGAGAATATCCTACTCCATCCCTAATCTAGTGAGCCTTGAGTACTCAAGATCATCGTTGTCTGTGTAGGAGTGCTATGCTCCTGTGTATAAGATGAAATTCCAGTCACTGCGTAACCTGGAATTCTTTCTCCTGCATAATGGAGTAACAGAGAGAGATTTATCCCATCTATGGCCAATTTTGACCTTATGTAGAACACATATGCCTCTGCACAAGGGTATTTTCCCCGACACAGAAGACATAATGCAGTTTCTTGCTGCATACAGCAGAAACCTAAGTCATGTGGAGAGGCTATTACACTATCTGTTTTTCTTCTCAATTTTCTGAGAATTCTGCCTCTGCACAGCATCCTGTCCCCTCTATTGTGTTACTCCGGCTGTTCAGCAGACCAGTGCTCCTGCCAGGCTGAAGGGTACTCGGTTCAGCAGCAGAGCAGATTATGCAATGAGTGTCAATGCCTGCTCTAGCAAAGTGCCTGTCTGTTGCAGTCAGGAACAATACTTAGAGATCCTAGGCACAGGCTCTCTCTGGTCTTCTGCTGCAACGAGCTAAGCTGCTGAGCTCAGGTGCCCCACAGAATGGCTGATCATGCCACCAGAAGTCATGAAGAGTGGTTAAGACACTTCAGACAGCTCCTTCCCTTTCATTCTTGCAGTGAAAACTGGCTATATACCTGGAAGTGTTTGCTATGTATCCGGAAAACAAGGTTCTCTAGCAGCCAACAGACATTCAGTGCTACCAGAGTGAATATTTTCCCAAGGCTGGTCTGTCTCTGTGTTCAAGCCTGTAGATACATGTATGTCCACCACCTCACAAGTAACTGGCTCTGTGCAGGACTGCATACAAAGTGAACCTGCAGATAAGGATTCCTCTCCCACATCCCATTCCAATTTGTGACTCCTTTCTGCTTTGTGCAGAAGCTCCCTGGTCAGGAGGTAGGAACTGAGGTGGAGATACTGAAAGCAGGCTCAGCAGCTGGAGAGTGTAGAGGTATCCAGACCGTGACAAGGCATCAGAACAAGCTAATTCATTGCCTTCTGCCTTGTCCTTCAGCCCAGAAGAAGCAAGTTCCCAGTTCTCCAAGGACATGCACGTTCTCTGGGCTCTCTTGGAGCTTAGGAGCAGATGCAGCCATATTTCTGCTCCTTGGAACTTGCCTGGAATGGGCATCAAGAGAGGAGAGGAGAGGAGAGGAGAGGAGAGGAGAGGAGAGGAGAGGAGAGGAGAGGAGAGGAGAGGAGAGGAGAGGAGAGGAGAGGAGAGGAGAGGAGAGGAGAGGAGAGGAGAGGAGAGGAGAGGAGAGGAGAGGAGAGGAGAGGAGAGGAGAGGAGAGGAGAGGAGAGGAGAGGAGAGGAGAGGAGAGGAGAGGAGAGGAGAGGAGAGGAGAGGAGAGGAGAGGAGAGGAGAGGAGAGGAGAGGAGAGGAGAGGAGAGGAGAGGAGAGGAGAGGAGAGGAGAGGAGAGGAGAGGAGAGGAGAGGAGAGGAGAGGAGAGGAGAGGAGAGGAGAGGAGAGGAGAGGAGAGGAGAGGAGAGGAGAGGAGAGGAGAGGAGAGGAGAGGAGAGGAGAGATCTCCTCTGATCCAACATGATCTTCTTGAGAAAAATATAATGCCGTACTAAATCCAGAGTTCTTCGTTTTGGTAGCATTTGTGTATGAGGGAGGCAATGGGCTTGAAAGAACTTCCCAGAGGTAGTTATAAATGATCTGCTGCCATACAGGGACAATGAGGTTTGTCTTGGGTTGAGGACAGCTCATCTCCCTGTCCTGTCACTTCTCTGAGTCCAGCAGACAGAGGGAGTCTGTGCTATCACAGAGCAAACTCAGTGGCTGAGCAGGACTGGAGAAGCACAGGCCGAGCAAGTGTATCAGAACTCACACTGATGCCATGCAAGAAACCTAGGCAAAGGCGTAAAGTCTAGGGCATCAGGGTTTGCACTCCTTCACATGAGACAGCCTAGGGCATCTCTGCCATAGGAGAGGATTACATCCTGTCTCATTCAGGTTTCTCTGCAGGGGCAAAGAAGAGAAGATGCAGCACAGTTATAAGGACCTCTGGGAAATGAGCAGATCATGGCCTGCTGAACAGAATCTGAAAGAGAAGGGGAGCATCCCACATCCTCAGCAACAGATAGAGGATAAGAGCAGCCACGACGACAGGGTAGCAGACAGGGACTCTGTGTGCTGCAGCACCTGAAGAAGAGGATGTGGGAGAATGCAGAGAAGTAAGGAAATGGTGGGGGAATCACAACAAGCAAGAAGGACTTCTCTTGGGTTGTAGGTGGCAGATGATGATTTCTCTTCTCTCCCTTCCTTTTTCTCTTCTACTGCTGGTAGCTTACAGAGCACCAGGGCTTCTCTGCTGCTGCTCCAGGAGCTGTCTGCAGGGGAGATGTGCGAATTGCCCCGATCGGCGGAGACGTCGAGAAGGAAGGCCAGCCAGCTGGCGGCAGATCTCATCTGAAGACAGAGCAAATACATGTTGAGGGATAATCAAAGTTTCCTTCAAATTCTTCACTGTCAGAATAGTTAGAAGTACATCCTTCTCTGTGCCTGCAGAAACTTTTGGAACTGCTGAATGCTCATATACATGAGGCAAGCGACTAAACCCTTAGGCCTTTGTTAATTCTCTTGTGGCTTTATTCATGTACAATACATATTAAAATCATTCAAATTTTGCTGCAACAAAGACTGCATGAGAAATCTTGACTGGATCCAGTTTTAATTTGTGAATAGAAATACTGACAGTTACTCTTTGACCTCAAAGGAATGTAACTTTGAATAAAGGCTTTCCTGGAGTTAGTGGAGCATGATGAAGGCTGAGTATATTCAAGCCAGAATCAAGAGCTCTATAAATTTTTGGTAGTACAATATCTACTTCCTAGCGTTTTTCATGGCATGCATACTGGATCCTGCATTGCATTAGAGCTCCCCCAAAATAAGCCCAGGGAAACTACTACATATTGATTGGGGCTGGGAAATATGTGAGCTTGAAGCTTGGAGACAGTGTCAGATGGCTACAGCTATGCTTGGATTTCCTTTTCTAGGTCAGCTTGTGCTGTCACTCACCTTGCATGACCTCGTTCTCTTTGCAGACAATGCGGGAGCACACCTCCTTGTTTATTATGTACATGCGCCGCACGCTGAGGGATCACCAGGAGCACACCGAGGACAGTGGAGAAAGGCACAGGGACAAAAAGAGACAAAAAAGGGATATAGGTAATAAACATTATTTCATGTTTATACTCATGATGAGGAGTCAAACACTAAATCTTTAGGATTAGTTAATCTAGAACAAGGCTGTTGTCAATAGAAAGGTAGCCTTCATTAAGACTTCATGATCTGGCCAAATAGCTTACATAAGGATTACAAAATTGGACACAAAATAGCTTTTTAGTGCTGCACAGATAGTAGTTATTATGCTGTTTTAATTAATCACCTTAAAAGGCAGCTCTGAGGATAGGATTAATCTCACCAACTAGTTTCCCAAAGGAAGCTCTAGTTTCAAAAGGAAACAACTGCTGAACTGGTCATGCCATTTCTGGAGAGTTTTTAGGCTTTTTGCTGGGGACTACTGTTTTCTTACCTTGTAACACAGAGGTAGCTGATACACTGCTTCACAGGCTTGTGAACAGAGTACAGGCGTGTACAAGGGAACTGCTCTTCACGACAATCTGAGAACACACACATAGAGGTGCAATCCAGCATCACAGCAGCTACATGCACGCATATAGTTTCACTAGGTACTGTCCTCCAAACTTCTAGTGAAGGCCTCTAGGCTCCACTTTCCATCCTCATGTGAGAGATGGGGATGGTTTAGAGAAGAAAATAAGGCAACTATTTCTGATTCCCTTGCCTCATAAGACAAAAGCAAGGAAGAGTAAAGTGAAGTGTAAAACAAGCCCTCTGGGAATTCTCAACACTGAAAGCACACATTTTAAGTGGGACAGACACAAATAAAATGTGAATTGTAGTTGTATGTTTCACATGCGTGTTTCTAATAGATCTACAACCTCACACTTTGGGTCACAAATTCTATTTCTTTCTTCTGGACAATCAACCCCATAGCAAACTATGATTTTTCCCCCCCCTGCATTTCCTTCTGAAACACCAGCCCTTGGCCACTCAGCAGGTCTGGTCTAGTTGTCTGCTAATTCCTCCCATCCTGAACATGCCACCAAGTGAAAGACTTCAGCTTCCACTACTGCCATTCTCCAGTACTCCTAACACAAGGAATAGAATGAAGTGAACTCTTCAGCAGGCCTCGGGAGATGAAGCTCAGTGCTCAGACAGCACGTGCTGGGAGAGGTAACAGGGAGGGTGAAAGGGGGCCAGGGAGAAGGTGCAGGCAGCGAACTTAAACATACCTGATGAAGCTGTTGTGGTTTCACTGTCAGACTGAACTGGAAGACAAAGTTAGTGTGGTTTACCATGATTCCTTCCTAGACGTCAGATTATTCAAAACAAATACCTGGAAAGTTCTTTCAAAAGCCCCCCATTGTAACTTCTGATGTGGAAAAACCTTTTATTGTTACTAACATGAAACAAAAGAAGGTACAAAACCAGTATAAATCCAGTGCCAGCTATCTAGCCAACAATGGTAAAAATCCATTTGAGCTTTACCATGAAGCATTACCACTTCTGTTCATAATTACACTGTAAAGACATCCCAATTTATATTCAAAAGGCTGAGTATATGTCACTGTAATTGCCATCTATCTAGACAAGCGAAGGAGCCTGTGATTGACTCTTCTTACCAGATGGTTCTTTAATGTCCGTGACAAGGCAGCAAAAGATGGTTGGTTTTATTATTCCCTCTTATAAACCAATCCAGCTCTATCACAGTAAAACACAGTAAATTTTATTGTTTACCCACTGACAACCTGGAAGGGAACTCAGAGGACTTGATAGGTGCAAGCTTTCATCAGTTGCAGTGGAGGACTTCTTTTCCTACCTACTTCACGTGCAGTAACACCATCCAGAAGCACAGACAAAACACATGGATGTAGAGAGGAGTCTTCTGGGCATCAGAGCCCAGTTAGGGGCATTCAGGGAAGGAGGAATTCTGGGTGGAGGAGAGGGAAGGTGGAAACATTCAACTGCGAAGTGAGAATAAACTCACCAGGACTAAGAAGAACAGGTGGTGTTACAGCTGCAGCTGGAAAAAGAGAAGATGTTCTGAGAGATCTTAATTTGAGCTTTCAGTCTCTTCCTCCCTCCCACAGTTCTGCCAATGGCTCATCACTATCGATGTGTAGCCATCCCACATGCTGTTCATAGTATCACCACAATCCAACCTGTCAGGGTACCAGCAGGCTTCTCCTGTGAATATGCTGGGTTCCCTACGGCTGAGGGGATGCTGTACAGCAGAGACGGGCCCCATGGTACACCTTCTATTAAGAGTTTCTTCTTGATCCCTCCACAATAAGTGTTTTGAAACTAAAGTCTGCTGTCAAGGCTTCATGTTTATCTTTTTCAGGTTTAGATGTAGGTTAGCCACAGACACTTTCATATGGACACAGAATGTCTTTATTTATCCTCCTACAGACTGTCAAGTCTCACAGACCAAACATGAGACTCGTCGGTTGCCTTCACCTACCACCACCCACCAGGAAGATCATGCACCATATGTACATGACACTGTACTTCCACTTTGCTCCTCCATGACAGCTGCTCAGGTTGACCCACAATAGTCTCGCCAGCTCATGGGCATAGTCACAGAGCGGAGGAGATACCACGGAGCTGCTCTCAAGCATGGCTGCTGGCTGGTAGCAGACATGCACGTAATCTTTTGTTGCAATGCTGTCACATTAACTGGTGAACCTGACCAATTTCTCCCCCTTGTCACTTAATGTCTTCCTCTGAAAGCTCAGGGTGTGTGAGCTTCAGTTGTCATGACTTCTTGCAGTGCGAACAACTTCAGACAGCCCTGCGTACACAAGGTGAGACTGGCATTTCCTTGGAGAACAAGTCATTAGCCACCCTAATTCACCTCCCTGCATGGAGCACAGGAAGGGCTCCCCAAGAGCTGTAAATGCTGGAAGAGCATGTCTCTAGGTGTCAAAGATGGGGAGGAGGGGTTTCCGAACATAATGGATAATTTCTGGGGCTATATAAGTGGCATTAAAGGTGAACAAGGGGAAAAGAGGCCTGAAGTTGCTGCGAGGTAAGAACTTACCAGGTGTGCTGATGAAAGAGTCAGTTTGAACTTCACCTGGAAAAGAGAGAATGTCCTGAGAGAGATTGTCGTTACTTTGTGGTTCCTTACACAGTAAGCCATAGCTAGCTTGAATTTTTTTGGCTGCCATGATATGCTCGGGAAATAGAGGGGTTCAATCCAGTATGTACATAAACATGGTAATCTCATCTCACCCTTATCCATTGCTCTCCCCAGTGGCTAAGCTGGAACTAGATTTCTTAGTGCACAGGTTATACTAACCCTTACTGAACTCTGGCTCACATATGGCCACGGGTAGGCATCTTGACTGGAAGGAAAAACTCATAAAACCAAAGCTCTGGCGGTTCCTGCAGCAGCAGGACAGGCAGCTGGAATACCTGCTGCACAGAAGGAGGGATGCAGCTCCAGAAGCTAGGCTTGGCTGCAAAACTTCATCAGCAGATATGTTTCTTTCAAAGGCAACTGATGACAAAGCTAGGTGTGATGGAGAGATAAAGTGTGAAGCAAAGAGGAACTTGGTGAACATATTCTGGTCTGTCTTCTGAATAGCTTTCTGGAAAGCCCTGGATATTGCACATGACAGGATTGTATCTGGGAGATGTCTGAAGTCTGAGCCAGTGACTTCAGTTTGAAGAAAAGGCTGGCTCTTGTGGTTCCTCTGATTGCTGAAGTACAATGCAAACATGTATTTATTCTACCTTATCATGTCACAGAAATGGAAAAAGTAAGAGCCAGAGGGATAAAGCAATTTACATGCTAAAACACATTCATTATGAAGATCAGTCAATATCCTTTCTCAGTGGCCCTCACTGCTAAAGCACCGCACCACTTGTGCATCTGTATGCTCAGAATTTTCTTGAGCAGTTGTAGAGGTCCCCTAGCTTCTCAGTGCTAAAGAAATGTGGCTTCTCATGGATCTCCCACAGCCCCGACTGCAAACACAACTTCATGAGAAGTGTTTAGCACCCCAACACTACTGAATTATTTGTAAAGAACACGCAACACTTAGCAGATTGTCTTAGAAGCCTTATTTAATCTTCACTGAAAGGCAAGGTTACAGCATCAAAAGCAAGGAAACAAAGAATAGTGTTGGCAATTAAGTAGGCTGTAACTATGTAGGTCAACTAGGTGACATGAGCTCCTAGCACACCACATGCCTGTGATACTCACCAGTTACACTGTCCGGTTCTTGCCCATTGACGGCCCGTGGAAACCAGTCTGCAAGGAGAGAAGACAGGAGAGTGAGGAAAGGACACAGAGTGATTTCTATAGGCTGAAGGCCTTGTGAAATTTGTTGAGATTCTTGTTTGTCCAGGAGACAACACTGCCCTCTGCTGAAGGGAGAAACGCTCTCCTCTCTGCCTCAGCCTCCGCTGCTGGCTGGGTTTCCTCTACAAAAACTTGTGGATACAGTGAGTCCTGATTCTGTCACTGGTGCCTCCATCGGGGCTGAAGGTTGAGCACAGGAACCTCCAGATCCACCAGACTTTGCACTCCTGCATCACCCTTTGATGCACTTTGAAAACAAATTGCACCTTGCCTTCCCACTCTGGAGGTTGGTCAAAATCCCTGTCTGCATTTTAGAGAAGAAAGAGGAAATTGAATCATGGAAATTATTTGCTTGGAGTCACAAGAGTGAGTTGTTGGCACAGTAAGCAACAGATTGCAGGTCTTGCAGCTCCTTAAGCAAATAATTATGTGGTCCATCATCCCCCCTGGGTATGGAGCACAGAGTGGAAGATGTTTTCCCTCTCAGCCCCTGCAAGAATTTGAGAGGGAGAATGAAGGCTTGACTGTGCATGCCGTATGGCAGAGGAGAGATTGAAACTGAAGTAGACTGTTCATTTGTCCAAACATAAACGGTGAGAGAGCTGCTTCCTCCAGTAGCCAGGAATAGGAAAATATTTCCTGCTAGCCACAGAGGAGGGAAATGTCTGCATAACTGGGGGTGGGTTGAAGGAAAGAGTTGGCAGGGAAAAAAACAACAGTGATCTGAGGCACTGCAGGGATGTGTGCAGGACCAGCCAAGCACAGTATACCCTGCTATATTTTATTAACTCAGCCTTTAGCTTAATGGGAGCACTGCATGTGTAAAAAGACTATCTGGTCTGGAGCTTTAGTCTTAGTTCTTACTCATTCCAAGAGCTGTTACTTGCAGGCTGCAAAAGGACTCTTGGGGCCTCTATTTAATCCTGCTCTGTGGCATTACAGGACCCTGCTATTCCTTTCCACAGCCAGCTGCCAGCAAGGGCTCAGCTGCTGGCTGTTGACCCAGGGAGAGTCAGACATGTATAATAACTTACGTACACACTGTAGTGGAGCCCAAAACTTTTCCTGTTCTGGCTAGTTTCGTAATGGTTATAAGCAGAGGAAAAAAAATTAAAAAAAAAAAATCTTTACTTTCTAAATTGTTCCTAATACAAAAGGAAGAATTCAAATTCTGACATAAACCCAACCATTTTAACACTGAAAAGTCAGCTTTTACTACTACATCTTTTCTTTTTTTTTTTTTCTTCAGATTTTCAATTACTTCAATTTATATTTGTTCAGGTGCCAATTCATATGCTTTATAAATGCTTGGATTTTGTTATCCAAGCTGCAGTAACTTCACCCTTGAAGTCTCAGAAAACTGCAACCCTTACACACCAAATCTGTAGCTGACCCAAAAACAAAAATGATGAGACATCAGGTGGTGATTCCTGCTAATTTCCAAGTTAAATACAATATTTACAAGAATTTAATAGAAATTCTAAAACAAGATACACAGAAGCAAGAAATCTTCCTTTGAGGCCTCATTTCATGTATTGTAAAAAAACATTTTTTTTTCTACCTTTAACTTTGTAAGCCACCTACAAGTTCAGCTCTTGGATGCCTTTCCTCCCTGCTTCATAGTAACAAACACGACATCCTCTTTGTGACAAATACTGTGCATGCTTACAGGAAAAAAAAAAGTGTTATTGGGAATAAAACCAGGCTTCAGTTAAATCCCAGATCCAAGCAGTGACCAAGCAACAAGGGAGGTGCATCTCAAGCTACCTATTTCGGCATGAGGGGAGGACTGAGTAGAGAAAATTAGGATAACTTGGTTTGAATGTAATAGGTGCAGTCACCTTTCTGTCATACAGTCTTTCTGTGATGAAACTCTCTCCACTCACTGGAATTAAACTTCATTTGCTGTCTGTCCTGTGTCTTCTGACTCTAAAGGTTGACGCTGACCCCCTTCCTCTCCCCTCACAAAGCTGATCCTGCCAGGATTTTTGCCAAAGAAACTCCAAGCAAAGACACGAAGCAACAAAACAGAATAACAACAAAAGCTTTAAACTTTGGAGGTTAGGCTTGTCAAAACAACAACACTAAGAAGGACAAAACTTTCTGAAAACCACAGAGGCTGGGGGGGGGGGGCCTCCAGCAGGAACCGCTAGGGACAGCAACTGTTTCACAACATTTTGTGGACCATGAAGTACAGCATAATCTATAGGAAGCAAAAACCCTAGCTAACCCTCTTTCTAAACTCTGAACCTGACTGTTCTGTTTATGCAAACATCCCCGTAGTGCAAGCGTTGGACCTCTGACTTGTGACTCCAGCTATTTGCTGAGTGGTTGACACATAACAGGAACCAGTCCCAAGTTGCCAAATTTTTCCTTACAACCCTCTATCTACCTTGCCTTTCCTGTTCAGTCCTTTCGCCTTCACCATCCATCTACATGTCTCTGTCTTTATCCTGAGATCATTGGCACATAAACCTTTGCAGGATACTCCACGGGGCCAAGGTAGAGAAGAAATCCTCCCCTTGGAGTATGGACTCACCGGCTGGGGACAAGAAGAAAGCTAAGAGACACAACAGCGTACAGGCTCCAGAGGTCTTCATCCCTGTGGACAGGAGAGGAAAGATCTATTAGGAGTGGGGATACTCTCCCCTGTAGCCCAGAAACTGCCTGCAGCCTCCATTTCCTTGCCCATTTGCCTCCCATTTGTTCTTCTCAGCTTTCCTCCCACCTGTCTCCCTCCTAATCTGCCTATTTTCCAGATGTTTCTGAAACATTTTGGGCTCAACGTGTAATTCCATCTGCCTTCTTTCTCTTTCCACCTCCTTTCAGTCTCCGTCCCTTTTTTCATCCAGGTGGCTAATCCCCCCTCCACACACAAGGCCAGCATGCAAAGAAGAGTTATCTTGTTATCTCCCTCTACTCTTTGCTACTGTCACATTGTTTTAAAGGGTAGGGAGAGAACAGATAAGATTCCCATCACTTACTGCTGCCCTCGGTCTCCACTTGTTTCAGCAGCAGACGCTCTGCCTTTCCCCTTCAGCGGTTCCCCCCACTTTGGCTACTGGGTAAATCACATGCAGCCACACCCAGAACATGCTCTACTTTGGGTTGTCTTCAAAATACAATTTTGGGAAGAAGTGGAAAAAAAAAAAAAAAAGAAGAAAAGAAAGAAAAAGAAGCCAGGGGGACGTTGGGACGTGGTGTCATCATGCTGCTGGAATGAGGTGGGGGGGGGGAGCAAAGAGCAGCAGCCCACACCCTCATTCCAGAGTTTATTGTACTCCAAAGGGAGACTGCTCCTCCCATTCCCCCAGGATGGCCCAGCATCAGGATCGGATTCTTGTGTCGACATTACACATTTGGCTCTGCCCTCCTACACACTGCCCCTGCTCTCCACTGCATCGAGCCCTGTTTTCCCGTTTACTGCCCGCTTCTACCCCATCCCCGCAGTCCTCTATTCTCACCGCTCCCCTGCCCCTCTCCCGCGGGCTGACAAGCTGCAGATCCCCCCATCCCCATCCGTGTTTTCCCTAAACCACACGCCCGTCTCGCCATGGTGACAGGACGGACTGTAGCCTCCCCCCGCTCCCCGGGATTACAGCATTCCCGGCAGGCAGCCCCATCCAGCCTGCGCTGCCAGTGATGCTGTGCAGGAGGAATCTGAAACCACCCGGGGCCAGGGGGCAGGGACAGGGGGCGAGCGCACGCCCCGGGCGGTCCCGGACCGGGATCGGGGTGCGGGGGGGTTCCCGCCGGCGCCACCAGCCCCCGGCGCGCGAAAATAGGGCTGGCGGACAGCCAATCAGCAGACACAAAGGGTGGTGACGTCACTCGTCGCCAGGGGAGGGGGGAGAAGGGGAGTGACCCCCCCATCCCCGGGGGTGGGATGGGGATATGGGGAGATGGGGATGGGATGGGGATATGGGATGGGGATATGGGATGGGATTGGATGATGATATGGGGATATGGGATGGGGATATGGGATGGGGATGGGATGGGGATATGGGATGGGGATGGGGATATGGGATGGGGATATGGGGATATGGGATGGGGATATGGGATGGGGATGGGATGGGGATATGGGATGGGGATGGGGATATGGGATGGGGATATGGGGATATGGGATAGGGATGCGGATGGGGATATGGGGATATGGGGAAATGGGATGGGGATATGGGGATATGGGATGGGGATGGGGATGGGGATGGGGATATGGGATGGGGATATGGGGATATGGGATGGGGATGCGGATGGGGATATGGGGATATGGGGAAATGGGATGGGGATATGGGGATATGGGATGGGGATGGGGATGGGGATGGGGATATGGGATGGGGATATGGGGATATGGGATGGGGATGCGGATGGGGATATGGGGATATGGGGAAATGAGATGGGGATATGGGGATATGGGATGGGGATGGGGATGGGGATGGGGATATGGGATGGGGATATGGGGATATGGGATGGGATGCGGATGGGATATGGGGATATGGGGAAATGGGATGGGGATATGAGGATATGGGGAAATGGGATGGGGATATGGGGATATGGGATGGGGATGGGGATGGGGATGGGGATATGGGGGTGGGGATGGGGATGGGGATATGGGGGTGGGGATGGGGATGGGGATATGGGGATGGGGATGGGGAAATCCTGCCTCCTGCTGCCTTCTCAAACAAGCAGATGGCCCAGGCTCCCCCCCTCTACAGCAATGCAAGACAGAAACCTTGTAGGGCAAAACTGTGTCCCGTGAGGCTTACCCTGGTAGCTAGGTAACCCCCTCTTGCTCTCAACAAATGGCAAACTATGAGTAAAGTCCAATAATACCTTGTGTGCAGTTATTAAGGAAATCCTCACTAATCCTTCATCTGCCGTGAAGGACCCAAGCAGTGATATCTGCACGCAGCAGACCTGCAGCCAGCACTTACACCTAACACCCACAGCAGCTGAGCATTGCTCGAGGCAGAGCTGATGAGGACAGACAGAAGGGTACTTGCTATTATTTCTGGTCCCCCCAAGACTCAGAGGTAAAGCACTGGAGGTGGGCAGTAGCAGGAGATCGACAGAGGGAATGGGGAAAGCTGGGCATTTCCATGTTCACCAGGGCGGCGTTTTGGTCTGAAGCACCATCACTGTTTCAGTGGAGCTAGATACCACCAGTCCTACTTTCAAGGTCTGGCCAAAACTCAGTCCACTGGAGATGCTCAAAAGGTGATTAAACAACCCAAAGAAAGTGACAGAAGCTATAAATACTCCTTGGTTTGAGGAATCCTCTCACATCCTTGGCTTTTTTGGCATGACCAGATAGTAGCTTGTTTAGACTACATCTTTCCACACACATTTTTTTTTCCTTTTCTTTTCTTTGTGCCTCTGTGCTGCAACTCAAGCCATGGATAACTAAAATATCTATGCAGATTAAGACCTCGTGAGGTCTGAACATTTATCTGAAACCTTCCATTGATGCTGTATGTCATGGTCTAGCAACGTTACTGATGTATCACTATCTACCACAGACAGTAGGATTCAACTCTGATCCTAAACAAGGTTTCTTCAGATTACTTTTGATCTTTAACTCCTTTTTTTTTCAGACTGGGAGACTGTGTCCCTCCCAGGCTGCTCAGTGCGGATCAGACGATTTACGCCAGCAGCACCCCTCCGTTTGGGGAGCTTGGTGCAGACGGGCGGATGCTCTGGGTGGTGGAATCGCAGGCTGGAAGCAGTTCAGTGTTTTACACACCAGACAAACCGCAGAGAAGTAACCGGAGATGCTCTGCTGCTCCTGCTCTCTGCGGACACCGGAGGGAGCTGCAGCTCGCAGCAGTGGAAGCTCCGTTTCTTTTCTCTCGCAGCCCAAGCACATTGCTGAAGAGAAGCGGCTCCCTGCCTGCAGGCCTGATCTGGTATGCAGGCTCTCCTTTTCGCTGACCTGTTTATCAGTGTATTGGATCCACAACTCTTTAACCGCTTTGATTTGGGGGAAGGGAAATAATCTAGTTATTTTCCCCCCATCCCTGTCTCACAACATTCACAAAGATGGCTGGACAGTCCTCACTGTCGGTAGATATGAATAATTAACATTATTTTTCCCTTCTCGTCCATTTTACTACCTTCCGCTTCACACGTAGTTGTCCTTCTCCAGCAGAGGGTACTTCGCTTCGGGGACATCTGCAGTGATCCAGCAGATGACTCAAGGTAAAGCACTCTTCCCTCTGAAAAGTCAGGTACCTGTGCCATGGTACGGTGTGAAGGAGAACTATGCCGCAGTGACTAGCGCGGGTGACTCATGAAGGAAACGCGTCCACCTTCATGCAGATATTCCCTAAGCTGCACTGACCCCAGTGCCTGTAGGTGTTTACCTAAGACGAAATGCAGTGGCAGTGATTCAGCAAGAAGTTCTCTTCCTTCCAAGTACTTGGTACTGATCTCCTTATGTTACCAGGGATGCTATAGCAATAGTAGCATGGTATTTTGGATGAGACACAAAATCAGTGTTTTCAGAAATTAAAATTTCCTGGTGTATTTCACCCCAGAGATTACTGCATCTCAGCAGACAGGTGTTTGTCATTTGCAAAGGTCCTGGAGAGGCATTTAAATGCCAGCTATTTTCTTTCTGTCTTGCTGTCTCCCTGGCCTTCTCATATCCCCACAGTAACTGGGTGTTAAGTTACATTTGAGTGATAAGCAATTAATAAACTGCTGTAAGATGTTTGAATGCACCACTTCAATAATGTAGTACTGGGTGGTCATTTGAATTGGGGCTGGTGAAATGAGTTTTCCTGGGATGCACGCTGATGACTTTTCACTGCTGATGGGCTCCGTACCTGAGGTCTGACACTACCCTGCAGTTGTTTCGCTGTTGTAGCCAAGGTCATCAGTGGGAAGGGGCATGAGCTCAAAGCCTGACCCATCTGTCCCCAGATTCGAGGGATTCAGGTCTGACTTTGCATACAGTGCACTGTAGAAGTGAGAACCCTGTAAAGTACAGGAGCCTGGGTACAATCCACATCTTGTTGACTAATGGTCATGTTTTTGCTGTTCGTCTACAAGAATACGGAATTCTTCACCCATTTACTTCCAAGTCAGCAGGCTTACCTCGCAGTGTCTTGCGGTCACAGAAAACCCTAAGGGAGACCATGAAATGAATTAATATATACTCATCTCCTTCAAATCAGTTCAACACGTGAAGAATTGAGCACGAGAACAGGCAATTAGTGAAATCTTTGATGTTTAGTTGGTGATTTGGCCATGGGATCCGGGATTCTCCTAGCCAAGAAACCTGCAGTGAGTTATCAGGATCTTCCTTCTTCCCTTGCTGTGCTTCAGGAAGGGAAGAGCTTCTCTGCTCTTTCTGTAGTTTATGCTACCAGAAACACCCTTCCTTTCTGGTCCCTTATACTGTCCAAGGGACAATTTTTCCTGGCTGCTTCACATGTCCCTTGGACACTCCTGTTTCTACAAGCAGCTGAGCACAAATGAGGCTTCCCTCAGTGCTCTTTCTCCAAGACTTTTTTCCCAGGGAGACAGATAACACTTTAAGCTTATCAAATATATAAATCTCTCTTGTAAGACTAGTTATGTGTGTCCATTTAAATCTCTCTTGTAAGACTAGTTATGTGTGTCCATTTAGACTTTGGACCAAATGAAAATGCCGTCTCTAGTAGTTTAAGACATGACTGATTCCTCCTCCATTTCTTCCATCTCTTCTGGACTTCACAGGCCAGAAGTAAAGTTAGCAGGATGAATCCTCCGTCAATGAGCAGTAATCAGAACTGGCTAAAGAAGTCACTGCTCCAGGGTGCTTGCTCATGCCTTGCCCACAACCAGCTGCTTCTGAAGCTTCATGAGGAAAGGACCTTCTCTTGAAATGCAGTTTGTCTCCTAAACTGTTCCTGCAAACTGACACGGATGTCCATTCAGGACTTCAGGCTGTAAGTGGAGTCATTACAATTCTGCTCAGCTGGTCCGAATACTGCTGTTGCAAAAATGTGGCTTCTGGCTGTGAGTGAGGAAGGCATGAGGAGGTAGGGATGTCTTAAACGTACCTGGGAAGTTCACCAGAGCTGATCTGGTGGAGAGCAAGTAACTTCTGAGCTTTCCCATCATTACTTCAGGTCTCAGTTGAGGCTCAGACTTTTGTATTA